AAAATGTTTATACCCGAGCGCACTTGTGCACAAGGGTATTATAACTTTGTTCACATAACGGTTGTTTGTAACAGGAAAAACGAATCAAAATAGATATAGACAAATGTATACATGAATGATCAGAATGAAAAGAGAAATCGATTAAGCAGTGACTGTCTGTCCGTCCGTCTGTCCGTCTGCCTGTGCACACGATAACTCGAGTAAAAATTTAGATATCTTAACGAGACTTGGTACGTGCTCTTCCTTCGGGCGTAGGATGGATGGTATTGAAAATGGGCAAAATCGGACAATAACCACGCCTACCTCCCGTATAACGGTAATTTTCAGAAATACGAAAACTGGGATATTTTAGTAGCTACTAAAGATGATTCACTCAAAATTGATTTTTGCAATAATTTTTAGACGAAAAATAAGAATATTATAAAGTTTTGGAAAATGGGCGTAGCCACGCCCACTTGTGGTTACATGTGTGTATCTTGGTAACCACTGCACCAATTTCTTCAAAACCTGGCACAGTTGTTAGCCTTGATACAGCATACTAAATGGGTGAAAATTTTTAAAATCGGACAATAACCACGCCCACATCCCATATAACGGTAATTAAGAGATATACGAAATCTTCGAAAAATCAGTAAATATTAAAGCTAATTTATTCAAAATTGATGCTTGCAACAATTCTTTACGAAGAAATACGTATATGACGAAATTTTGGAAAATGGGCGTGGCACCGCCTACTTATGTTCACATATATGTATCTCGGTAACTGTTGTACCAATTTGTACCAAACTCGGTACGGTTGTTGTGCTTGCCACATAAAAGTAAACCGTTGAAAATTATTGAAATCGGACTAAAATTACGACCGCTTTTCGTATAACGGTAGATTTCAGAAATGCTTGAAACTAAATATTTCGAAATTTAAGGACGCTAATTTACTCAAAATCTATACACCCCGGCTTACCATGTGCAGTACTTGCGCCGGGTATTTAATTTTCGGCTCCGCCCGAACTTAGACTTTCTTACTTGTAATAATTTGTTTATTGTTTGTTGGGTAACCGTTGACTATTTTTCTTAGAAACGCATAGTTGTGTAGTTCCGCTTAGCTCAACAGTTGGCAACTTTCCGCCATTTTTTCCAGCGGAAAATTTTTACGCTACCTGAATTCAACGTGTTGGGCTTAGCCTAAACAGCTGATCGAAAAGACTTACGCCGCTTATATTAAATTTAACGCCGCTTTGTTAGGTGGCAGTTGCAAACCAATTTTTATTTTATAAGAATTGGCACAGAATGCGATGGGAGCTTTTACTTGAAAAAAATCTGGATAAAATCTCATTACAAATAATTTATCAAGAGAACACAGAGTTGTGTGGTTAGAGCCATTTATTTATTTAGAGCAAATATTCGCAACATCCCTGGTCCAGACACCATTTTTAGCTGTAATTATAGATTATAAGCGAAGTCCCAATACAAAAGTCTAAACATCAACCTCAACGGTAGGCCTTGCCGGAAGTAGTTAAGTATTGCGCCTAAAAAAATGCACTACATACGCTACAGAGGAAATTGACGAAAAGCCATTTCTTTAAACGAAAATAATTGGTGCTCGTATGTACATATGTACATATGTATGTATATACTAAACGTCAGCACAAAACATTTTGCTTGCATATGCACAAAATAAACCACACGGATATTTGCGGAAATACCAACTTTTACAAATAGGAATCGAATAAGAATCTTATTTGTACTAATTTGTATTTGCGCAAATATTTGTGTGGTGTATTTTGCGCAATAGTATTCTGTTCTCTTTTCACTGCTAGTTAAATTATTTTAATATCTGTTGCAAAATTTTATACAGACACAAGACTAAAAAGTAGAAAATAAAAAAATAAAAAGAAATAAAAACTTTTTAATATACTGCGGCTTTATAAATTGACTAAAAAGTAGAAAATAATATTTCTCAGTTCCATAGAATTTAATTTGATAATATGTATGTATGTATGTCGGTATATGAATAACGACCACTTAAATTGATCTCAAATTTGTACTTTTTCTGTAGAAATTTTTGGTCTATGTAATGTAGTTTGACTATTGTCAATTAAATCTAATGCTTTGTATTGCAGGCGCCTCCACGTTTTTCGTTTTCAATCTCATAAATTGTTTATAAAGACTTTTGCTAAAATTTCAAAATCAAAAGTTATCAAAAAAAGATCTGTGGGACTGAGAAATATTATTTTCTACTTTTCAATCCATTTATAAAAGAGTGGTATATTAAAAAGTTTGTTTTTGTTTTATTTATTATTGTTGGAATCATTGATTTAAGTACATCACTATCTATCTTGATAGATAATGCATCAGCGTTCGTATTTATTTTTCCTTGTTTGTATACAATTTCGAAGTCGTATACTGATAAATCTATTCTAGTTCTTGTAATCGATGATGGCTTTCTGTGTGAACACAATGACACTAGTGGCCTGTGGTTAGTTACTACGATGAATTTTCTGCCATAGAGATATGTTCAAAATAATTTATTCCCCAATGGATTTCTAGTAATTCCATCTCTATGATTGGTTTGTTGATGCTGTGTTTTTGTAATGATTTACTGACTGGTCAGTGCCGTCGAGAGAAAACTCGGGCCCGGGTCTAAAAAAATCATGGGCCCCTATATATAAAGTGTATAAAATTAAAAGCATATGGCCCAAATCGCCGAAAACGAAACCGAGGCGAAACATTCTCTTCCCAGGCTTCACAGATTTGGTATCACACAATATGAGGTCTCACACATTGAATATTAATTAACTCGAATCTCCTTCTCTCAAACATCAAAATTCACTTATCCTGAAATACCTTCAAATTAATGAAAACTAAAAAAGCATGAAATTAAGGGTTGTTTATATTTAAAGGCCATAATTTTTTGCATTATACTTGCTTCTCTTCGATTGCCTTGTTTTACTTTGAAGTTATAAAAAAGTATTCGGCAGAAAAATCAGTGATTAATTTTCTTAATGAAAATAAAGTCGGCATCATTTTTTAAGGTAATGTCAAAAATGTCAAAAAGTTTTTGGTGCGAAATCCACCAGGCTAAAAAATGGAAAAAATTTGGTTTTCTTCGAACATTTTCGGCCTTCACAACAATAAAGCAGTTTCCTATACTCTTCATTATCCAAGTGTTTTCGGTGCAAAACTATTTGTAACGTAAGGCACTCGGCACATTACGCGCCTAATCAAAGTAGAGTAATCATATCGTCATGCCGAAACGAATGCATGACGACTCGGCTTCTGTACACTTGCACGCCGTGCATAAGTCACCAGCTAATAAACACTTTCTACACATAACAAATTTTCTGGACGTTCTTTCGCAACTACGCACTTCCGCAAATATTTCTGCTCCGAAATATTGCATACACGTTTGTGGTTTAATACAATTTGCTCGAATTTTAGCACGAAATCATTCATTTTCATTATTTTCTATTGAATTGATAAATAAATTTTATTTCCAACACAAAAAAGTAAACAAATGATGATTTCAAAACTGCAAGCGCCTTACAATGTTGGGCGCTTCGATTCATGAAGCTTTTATGACTAGGCGAAAACATGATTTTGAATCGTAATGTACAGAGCTTCATTGAAATACATGTGTTCGGCATAAAAGCTTTATACTTTAGTATGCCGAAACGATTACACTACTATGATTAAGAGCTTAATGTGCGGAGTGCCTTAGACTTTTTACTGATTGAATTTTCAGGTAGAATTATTTTTTATTTAGTTAGAGTGGGGGTTATTTGAAAGCAACATTTGGGGTATTCACAACGGTGTCACAAGTGTCGTATTGTTGTGTGTTGTAAACTTTAAAAACGTAAAAAATATATTAAGGGGGTCCGCAAAGTACCATCAAAGTCATATTATGAATTTTTGCAGTGTTAAACAAGTAAGAAAGTCTAAGTTCGGGCGGAGCCAAACATTAAATACCCGACGCAAGTATTAAATATATGTTTTTCACATCACTTCGATGATTACCGTGTCCAATTCTTCATACGTTAAGGACGCTGTCAAGGTGCTTCTTATTAGTAGATGCTTAGCTGATTGTACCGCTGCTTCCCATAAACCGCCAAAATGTGGAGTCCTAGGAGGTATAAAATGAAATGTTATTCCCTTTCCGCTGCACTGCTTTACTATTGATTCTCGTGATGAATTTCCATAAACAACGTCAGTAAGTTCAGAAAGCTGGTTTTTCGCGCCTACAAAATTGGTTGCGTTGTCACAATATAAATTTTGACAATGTCCTCTTCGGCTTATAAATCGTTTTAAAAATGGCCCGCAGAAGTCCACTCCTGAGTTGATGAATGGTCTTGCTGGAGTTACTTTTGTTGAAGGCAAGTTCCCCATAATTTGACTCATTAGTTTTGGCTTAGCTTTGGTGCATCTTACGCAGTTGAGCACAATTGATCGTGTCAGCAATTTTCCCTTTATAGGCCAAAATCTTTGCCTTGTGTAAGCTAAGAGCGCTTGAGGTCCACAATGACGGTTTTCTTTATGGATCATTTGTACTAATAATTTGGCGAGTGAATTGTTATGTGGAATTAGCATAGGGTGTTTGGCATCGTATGCAAGTTCGGATGCTTGTAGACGCCCTCCAACCCGGATGATACCATTATTGTCCAGAAACGGTGACAGGCTGCGGAAAGAACTGTTTTTGCGAACTTCGTTGTGTTTTTTAAGGTGCTGAAGCTCTTCCTCAAAGTCCGATTGCTGCATTGTACGGACGATTACCACAAGCGCTTTTTCCAATTCGTGTACGGTCAAGGGAATGTCTGACTCCCGCGATTGGTTTCTGGCCTGGTTGATAAATCTCAGCATGTCAGCCTGTCACTCTTTGTAATGTTTTGAAAGAGCCATTGTGTCGAATGCTATAAAGTACGCTTCCTTCATGTCCAGTGGTTGCAACAGCGACTGATGTCACCCCTTTCTGTTCCATGTTGATACCTTGCCTTGGAATACTTTGAAGGCTAAGTGTCTTCTTTACCAAACAAGATTGTTGGCCCATAAAACCACATATTGCAGGTTTCTAGTCTCCCCGGCGGCAGTCCTCGTGATAGAATGTCAGCTGGGTTGTCTTTTGAGCTTATATGCCGCCATTGTTCAGTGGTAGTGTGCTCATGAATAACAGCTATACGGTTTGCCACTAATGTTTGGCATGATGCTGAGCATGAGTTAATCCATGCCAAAACGATTTGTGAATCAGTCCAAAAGTATGTAGCCACATCGTCTAGCTTAAGGTCTGGTTTGACCCTTGCAGTTAATTGAGCACCCAGTACTGATGCACAGAGCTCAAGGCGAGGAATAGTTTGCCGTTTCAAGGATGCCACACGTGATTTTGCACAGAGCAGCCTCACTTGTACTCGTCCCTCATCCAGCTCGGATCTAATGTAAATCGCAGCACCATATGCCTTTTCTGATGCGTCGGAGAAGACATGAATTTGAATTTTCGCTGGGATGTATCCTTCAAACACGTGCCGTGAAACTTTCATGTTGTCCAATTTTTGCAAATCATTTCGGAATGTTGTCCATCTCTCATTCAAATCGGCTGGTAATGCTTCATCCCATGTCAGTTTCAGTTGCCAGAGATCTTGAATAAACATTTTTTCCATGACTACAATTGGTGCTAGTACCCCCAACGGATCGAAGAGCCTTGCAAGATCGGCGCTGACTGAGCGTTTTGTTGCAAGACTGCAGCTTCCTAGGCATACCTTTACGCAGAATCGATCCATCTTAGGCATCCATGTTAACCCCAACGTTATAATAGTCTGATTGATGTCATTGTCAAAGTCTATGTCAACTTCTTGTTCCTCCATGCCAACATTTTGCAGTAATTGTGAGTGATTGGCGCACCATTTTATTAGGTTAGGACCACGTTGTTTTGAAATGTGTATCAGTTGATGTTGGATTTCCATCGTCGTGGTTAAGCTGTCTGACCCACCAATTCCGTCATCTACATAAAAATTGTCCTGTAGAAACTGCGCACCAAGAGGATATTGCAATGCATTTTCTTTTGCAATTTTCTGCAACCATTTGGTGGCTAAATATGGAGCAGATCTTGTCCCATATGTGATTGTATTTAGCTGATGATGCTTTAATGGTAGGCTTGAATCTTTTCGCCAGATGATAAGTTGGAATTTGCGCTCGTCCGGTTGAATTAGCATCTGTCGATACATTTTTTCTACATCTGTGGTGAAGACGAACCTGGGCAATCGGAAGCGAAGTAAAATGGTGAAAAGCTCGCTCTGAACAGTGGGTCCGGTTATACATGAGGTCGTTCAAAGACATGCCAGTGGACGATTTTGCTGAGGCGTCGAACACCACACGTAATTTTGTAGTGCGGCTTTCGGGTCTCACAATGCAATGGTGAGGAATGAAGTACCTAGGTTTACTGATGGAATCAATATCCACTTGCGTCATGTGCCCCAAGTTCTCATATTCCTCCATAAATTGTACATATTGATTCTTTGTCTGGAGGGATTTTGCCAGTCGACGTTCTAAGGCCAGGAATCGATTATAAGCCATGCCATAGGATTCCCCTAAGGCCTCCTGGTTTTCATAAAATGGTAGCCTTACCATGAATCTCCCATTTTCATTGAGGAGTGTATGTTGTGCGAAATGAGCTTCGCTCTGTTCTTCTGTTTTGCTGTTAATCGAGCAATGGCTGCATCTAAATTGCTGTCATCATTGGTACAGATTCCACATATTGCATTTGAGATGTAAATGCCACCAACTTTTCCCGCGATGATCCATCCCAGCACTGTATTTTGCAGAATGGGTAGGTCATCTGACAGTTAGATTTGCCCTGCTGCCATCAGTTGGTTGTAGAATTCCGCCCCCAACAATATATCAATTTTGTCAGGACGATTGAATGATGGGTCGGCTAACATGATGTTCTCAGGTATTTTCCATTCGTCGATCTTGACTTCTTGCGAAGGCTGAGGGGATATAATCTGAGGAAATATCGCTGCCTCTAGCCGCGTTGTAAAGTTGTTGATCCGAGCTCCTCGACCCGATGCCACTAATGTAGATTGATGATGGTTTAGTTGAGATGCCAAGACGTTTAACCAATCGTTCAGTCACAAAATTAACTTGTGAGCCTGAATCGAGAATTGCCCGACAATGCACTTCTGTTCCAATTCCTCTAACTTTCACCATGGCAGTGCTGAGTAGTACATATGTGTTTGACTTTATGTGCTTTGCAGTGGTAAGTGACGCTGCTTCGTCTTTTGATGGCGTTGATTTGGTCCTGGATGGCGTATTACTTTGCGATTCGTTGCCTTGTGTTGGAGTGGCTACTGATGTAATATCTTTGCTCACATCCCTTTTTGAATCCTCGAAATGTAACAGCGTTTTGTGTTTTTTGTTGCATTTCAGACAGTTTCTTAATATACAATTTTTAGAACCATGTCCCGGTTTTAGGCAATTGTGGTAAAATTTCTGCCCTTGTATGAACTGAAAGCGTGCCGATGGAGACTGTTTTAAAAATTCCTTGCAAGAAAATAATGGATGTTTTCCTTTTTTGCACATGCTGCAAGTGTCATTTCTATGACCTTTGGATGTGACTGAAGTGCACACCTTTGCAGTTGAGCTTGTAGATTTGTCTTTAACATCCATCGCTTCCATGGATTGAAAGAGTTTCTCCAGAAATTGCAGGAATTCCTTGAGTGTTTTTGTACCTCCCGTGGCTTTGATAATGATTGTTCGTACCGCAAACGAGTCTGTTGATCCAGTTTCTTTAGTAGAAGGGGGAGCAGAAGTGGATCCCATGTTGATGTGTCTATCTGCAAATTTTGCAATGCTAATAGACATTCTTGTGTTGTGTCATGCAGTTTTTTAACACTGTCCACTGATGTGCTTCCAGGTGTAGTAGTTAGCTCATGTACTAACTTGCTCACCAGCAAGCGTTTGTTGTTGTAACGCTCCAGAAGCATGAACCAAGCTGCATCAAAATTCTCTCCTGTTGATGCGAAATGTTTAATTAGATCTCCAGCCTCCCCCACTAAGTGAGTTTTCAAGTACCCCATTTTCTGAACTTTTGAAAGAGGTTGATTTATTACCAGTTGCGAGAATAGGTCATGAAATTCTTGCCATTTTAAATAGGTGCCGTCGAATTTTGGAATTATTATCTTCGGCAATGAAATTGATTGCAGTTTAATCGGAAGTTGATTTGAAGTTTGCTCAGTATGGGAGTCACTATTAGCTGCTTGCAAAGTACTCCGTATCTTTTCTTCAAGTGAAATGAAGTTATCGACCTTGTAGCCCTGCTCGGTTGGGTTCGAACATCTCATATATCCTGAAGTGAATGTCTTCTATATTTTCCTACAGTTTATTAATTGTTGGAACACATTGTGGTGAAACGTTATCGTTCAGTAACCGTCACAACGAGGCCATCATTATCCCTTGTCTGCGAGCTAGTTTAGTGTACTCGTTGGAAGCTGCCTGTTTGGTTCCATTATCATGTCGTGCTTCTGTGTTGACTTTTGAAGCTGAAGCATCATGTTGGTACGTACTTCCTTCATGGATTGCGGGTCCTTTTTAAAATTTCGGACAATTGATTCAATATTGCCGCCCGTTTCTCTTTGTTGTCTGGCCAAATCCTCGAAACGATCTATTTTTCTTCTTTTAGTTTAGTTTTGTGGCTCCTGGTTTAAGCTGAATGTCCTTTCACAGGGGTCACCAGAATGTTCAGAATAATAGCGATTACGCCAAGTTCGAACACTGTTGTTTGCTTGATTGCTTTTAAGTGATCTTTATTGAATTAATGGTTACGTTTTTATACAAACTAAATGCTTACGTTGCTAAATAATAAGGCCATAAAAACTTTAGATCGTAAGCAAAATTATTTTAAAGGCTTTATTCCCACGTTTTGGTCTACATAAGCATAAGTAATGCAAATGCTTTATTCCCACGTATTTGTTGACATAAGCATATTCCACATTTTGCGTCTACTTTCATTGGCGTGCATTAAGAAACACCGGTAGCCCGATCACTTTAGATTTTTTCAACGAAAAAATTCCAGGACGAAATTTTTTGACGCTGTTATGTGTCTCCTGTTTAGGTGAACACAAAATGAAAATTGTTCCCCTAATTGCAGTATAGGAAATGTCTGCCATCTTAGATTTTGTGTTTTTTACGATTTGCGCGCGAATTTTGCATTAGATGTTTTCAACGAAAAAATTCCAGGAGAAATTTTTTGACGCAGTTTGGTGTCTCCTGTTTATGTGAACACAAAATGAAAATTTTTCCCCCTATTGCGATATGGGAAATGTCAGCCATCTTAGATTTTGTGTTTTTTACGATTTGCGCGCGAATTTTGGATTCGGTTTTTTTTTAATTCGATTCCCTACAATTTTCATTTGCCTATAATTTTTTTAAACAATTATTTATAGCCAATATTATATATATTATTTATATGCACCAAATTGGGTTTTTCGAGTTTTGAGCAATTTCTGTTTGAAATAAGTGGCATATTTAAATGGTAGAGTTGTAGAAGACAAAATTTCAAATAAACGCATTATTTATATGTGTAGATCTCGACCAACAACGCGCTCAATGCAGCGGCAGGGGAAAGCTACTCAAAACTTTTTTCACAGTATCTCGGAGGTCGTGTTTTTTGGTGCGTATTTTCAACTGTGGGTTCACCAATAGGCCAAGCCCATGAATAACTATTTTCAGTCAGTTGAAACTGTAATTAGCAAATAGTTTTTGTTCTTTTATCAATACGACTTTTCTCTGATTCGAAAGAGTTTTATTGTGACGAAAATAACTATGTGTGGATTAGGACTACTGGTGAAACCACATAAAAATAAAACGCGCTAATAACCTTACCTCTGAGGTGGTGTGGAAAAAAGTTTTGAGTAGCTTCTCCCTTACTGCTGCATTGATCGCGTTGTTGGTCGAGATATACACGTCGTACGTAAACATATAAATAATCCGCTTATTGGAAATTTTGTCCTCTACAACTTTGCCATTTAATGCTGTAAACACATATAGGGCTTGTGGTGTGCGGTGCGCATCCTGCCAAAATAGAATACGTGTAAACCATGGTGGAATAATAACAAGGTGTTGTCAGTTACTTAACCTCACTTCTTTGGCAGATCTGTTCCGGTCACGCATTTTAAAGTAGTAGAAAAGGTATTACTTATTTACTACTTTTAATCCGTTGGTGCATACTATTTCAAATTAAATGTAGAAAAATGTATAATTACAGGCTTATAAGCCTGAATACATGTTTGTATCGGCAGCTCCGCACAGCTTGGACATATATTGTAATGGTGCATTTATATGGTATGAAGCCATATGAACTGTTGATACACTAAAATAGAGGGACTACATGTTCTTATGAGGAATTCAATGATATCGAGTAGGATGCATATAATAGATTTTTTCATATGAAAAATTATTGGGAGATACTGTAAACATACTGTTGTGATACTGTTAAGCATATAAAATTATAGCAAGTTGGATTTTCATACATCTTCCCATAAAAAGTTTAACAGATGCAGAGATACCAAGGAGTTTTTTTTCCCATTTTGATGCCTTTTTTAATATAAAACCCACCGAAAAGGAGGAAAGCGGCAACTCCGCCATTCACATACATTTCAAATGTAGGAATTTTAAAAATTAAAAACAATAAACAAACAATTTCAAAACAATAAAAAATCTTTGTACCAGATCTTTTTCAATAGAAAAAATTCACGTATGGTGGACAATAAAAATACAAAGCACTATGATAACAAGACATTACACAACATTTAAATGGGCTTTATATCACATTTAAGTAAAAATAAGCCTATATTTTCCAAGCTTGCAAAGAAATGAAAATGTGTATTTTTTGTTGTTTACAAAAAGACTTGCCAAATATACATATAAGTCAAAATTATAGAAGGTATGTATACTTCTCCCTTTCATTTTTTCATACAGTTGATGCTTCTTTCTGGCTTTTACAAAATGCAGGGATACCACCACACTTATTTCGGTACAATATGATCGTAATGTATTTTCAATTCGAAATTAAAGAAAAAACATCCCACTAAAATGTTTGCCATTGTAGAACAATAAGTGTATATTTGCAAACTAATGCAAAGAATGGAATGTCATATCTTAAAAGGTTGGGAGAATTAATGAAACAAACAAACATTTTGTGGTCTTATGTTTCCTTCAAACCGCATTG